ATATTTATATAATAAGAATATTTATGGAATAATATATATATGAAATGTTAGACAGAAAAGTGTTACATATATTAAATATTCTATTAGACTACGTACCTTGGTGAGTGTTTCAAATTGTTCTGATATTAATATATAAATAATCAGAAGTATTTTATTTAAAATAAAGCATTTATATGATATATTTAATATACTGTATATTAACGAAGTGAATTTTAAAACATGAATGTAACCAGGGGTAGCGACAAGGGTTGCATTTTCTTAACTCTTACAATTTTCAAATAAAATCTGAATTGATGTTTTTTGGAAATGGAATCTAAATATTGGAATAAATATTGTATCGTTCTGTAATATTATAATAATAATCAGATTCAGTTTATGCCCCTTCTATACATATATTCTGGATACGCTCATGAATGCAAAGAACTTTAATGCATTTCAAAAAATTTTGAAAGGGTTTCAAATTTAATATTAAGCAACATTTATGAAATAAATATTTTAAGTTATAAATTAAAACACAAATTCAAAGAGATTTCTTCAAGAGTAAATAAATTTGATAAAATTATCAATGACTAATAAGTTTAACCGTTTACTGCGATAGTTGATCTCTTATATTTTCCGGCAATGGTGTTAAAAAGGTATTAAAAATATTAGTTCTAACATTTTGGGAAGCATCACATTACACAGAAAACATTAATCTTTAGTTATATTTAGTATCGCATTAATAAATATCGCAAAACTTCCGTAATTGTTACAAATGTTAACTAAACTATATTATACAGCAAATATTTAATGTTTCAATTCCACTTATAAAAATATTTGGTTTATCTGAAATGTGTTAAACAAACAAATCTATGCCTTTTTAAAAAATTAAATTAAGGAGTCACACAGCACTAAGATGGCAAAAACTTCAAAATTATTAAATTATATTATTTTTTTAAATATTTTTTTGAAATATTGTAAATTAGTCAATTTTTCGATCAATTTTATTTGTTTAATATTTGTGTATATTGCGGAAGTTCCATAAGTTTGCTTTAAGGCGGTGGTTTCCAATCTGTGGGGCGCACCCCCTCATAACATCGCTAAGTTGTTACAAGGGTACAACTGTTTCCAAAATTCAGTTTTCGAAAATAAACAAAAAAATGAAATTATATAAAAAATAATCATTTTTCATGCATATTTTTATATAAAGTTTTTAACCTGTCTGACTGGGATATGAAAATAATAAATAAATATATGAATAAAAAAAACTAATTAATTTGCAGTCTGATAATCATCTTTGATATTAGTTGAGTATTTATGAAATGAAATTGTTGAAAAAAAGAAAAACCCAACTATTTTTTATCAGAACGCAGGGGGGGTGCAAAAAAGATTGAAATCCACTGCTTTAGACAACGTTCTGAAAATAGTGTCTTCAATCTAACAATAAGCCGAATAAATTTTATTTTGCAAACAAATGCAATTTTCATATCATCTTAAGATGCTTATGAATCATAGTAATGTTTTCATATTATTTGTACTATAAACAGTTTCCGCACACATATACATCATGAGTTCAACGACACATGATGTGAAGATTCATTTTTTTTCCTAAAAATTAACTTTGACTAAGATTATGAGCCATCATATACTCTACTATAATTCACTTATCATAAATTCATTGCCAGGAGTAAAAATACTACGGTAGCTTATACTAGCTTTTATATTGTGTAATAATTAAATCAGTTTTCTGATTATCTAAAAACTAATGCCAAACAATGTTTTATTATACCCATATATCTATATAATAATATGATAATAATTATAATAATATTATTATTTAATGGTAAAATAAGAAGTGACTTTAGTTTTAGCCGCGTGGCACAAAATAAGTTGTACTTAGTCGTCTTTAGATAAATAAGTACAACTTTAATTATAATTTCTACTGTTATTATTAATGTTGTGACGTGAGATAATATATAATACGAAGAAGTTTATTATAAGGATAATATTACAAATATTATGTAAATACTGACAGATATTGTAAATAATATTAGTATACTAAACTATTTATTATACATATATGTATATGCATGCAACAAGTTAAGGGTGGAAATTATCTATTATTTTTCGTAGTTTATTGGTAAAACAACTTAAGATTTTTGCAACTGAAAGTATTAAAATCAGAACTTGTTATTTTGTTTCTATTCCGTTCAATTAATTCAATTTGATATATTTGGTGGATTATTTTATCATTAAACAAATATGAGAGCTATAAAAATATTATGATCTAGATACATAGCAACTCTTATTATCATAGCAATAGTTAATTTTAATTTTGTTCACATCGATTCCAAATAACAGTTTCAGTACATAATCATTTAGAATACAGTAGTTTTTAAAACATTTCACCAAAAAGTAATAGATTTAACCTTAACTAATGTATGTATAAACATATATGCATAGCTTATATAATAAAGAAATATAATATGATTGTCCATGTGTCTATATATGTGAAGTATGTGAAAATAACTATATTTTGATTTTAAAAAATAATAAATGGTATACTTGTATCAAAATATTAAGTTTTTTTCTATAATTGCAGCATTCATTGCCATCATAAGTTAACCACAAATCAATTATTTTGTATTGATACTACATAGGGGCGTTGCTACCAGCCGTATCAAAAATACGGAGTCCCCGAGACAGGGAACCCCCAATGATATTGATATTGAAACGAAGGCGAAAATTTTAGCACTCTTCTCCTAATTTAAGGAATCGACTCGGCCTATCGTTGGAAAACCAAACATTTCTGGCAAAAACATAAACCATTCCTTCGGGGAGTTAGTCATTATTAACTGAAGCAGAAACTTTATCAAAAACTGTAGCCATTATAAGCTAAAATGGTTAAACAATTTGTGTATTGAATTTGAATTGTTTGTAGAAATTTTCAAAAAGGATAGATGAATATTGATGATAAATGAAATTTTATTAATTACTGCCTGGGGGGCCCCCGGCCAATGCACGCTATGCCCCTGATACAACATGAGAAATAATAGTCAGTTTTTATATTAAGTCAATCATTTGTTGTTAATATGATATTTGTACACTAAATATTGTACTAAATATTGTATGGTACTAAAGTTCTTAATAAGTTTTTTAACTTCTCGTAAGTAATGGGCAGAAAATCGTAAATAAACATTTTTGCATATCTTCACGTTTTGAAGGTTTCTGAACATTTTGGTATACCTTAGAAAAAATGGATGTGTGTGTCCACGTTTTCAACCTATTTGAATTGTTCAAAAAACATTCGATTCCTATTGATAGGGAGATGGGCTGATTAGTTTTTGGCAAAGACAGGTCCAGCCGTTACGGAGATACGGAGCAAAGAGTGCAGAAAATACAAATCGAGTTTTTGAGAAAACGGATTATCCGATTGAGTGATCTAAAAAACATTCAAATTGTAATGATTGGGAAAAGAGGTTATTAGTTTTTGTCAAAGGTAGGCCCAGCCATTTCAAAGATACAGAGCTAAATGTGCAAGAAATTGCAGTTTTTGAGAGAACTAATTTTGACTAAAGTTCTAATATACTTTAAACAAGTAATTTCAACTTTGCAATTCAGCTTATATAATTCTTATAAATTTTAGAGAATGTTACAGTGTTACAGTATTAATTTATAATAACTATTTAAAAACATTTAGTTTTTCTCGATATATTTCGTTACGGTACGGGAAGGTCCAGCAATTTTCCTTAAGGTACGATGCCATACACCACTAGTTCTATATTTAAATGTTTAACTTTTCGAAACATTTAATGATCTAATTTTATCGAAAATATCTAGTATAAAATCATTATTTCTTATGCAACATTAATTTGTATCGAATTCAACATTTTTAAATTTGAATTTGTCGCTTTTGAACTTACCTCCAAAATAATTAATTTTGTTTTGCGGATACAGGTTGGTACTACTGAGCGAAGTGAACACGAAGAGCTCGCGGACAAGACTGACAAAATCATCGTTCTTTCTTTCCGAGCTTGCCTCTTGTGAAGAACGTGGTAGCCAGTGGTAACAAAACTATAAGATCCTGGTGAAAAATATTGCTAAAGAAATGTTCTCCGGGTATAGAAGTTCATATAAAATATTAACAAAATGTCCATAGCAAGTGAACCCGTCGAGATGGATGAAGATGAAGTGGCGTTTACCAAAGCCCGTGAGTTGACCGACGAAGAAAAGCTAAAACTAACCCAACAAGACACGCGACTTGTGAGTTCTTTTAAAGCAAATAAGTTAGAAATAGATTCCAAAAAGAACTGGGATTTGTTCTATAAACGAAATGATACCAGGTTCTTTAAAAACCGGCATTGGACTACACGTGAATTTGAAGAATTACTGGATGATAAATCCGAGCACGGTACGCCAAAGAAAATGCTAGAAATAGGATGTGGCGTTGGTAATTTAATATACCCCTTGATTAAAGATAAGTTAAATAAGTATTTTATATATGCTTGTGATTTATCTGAAAGAGCAGTCGATTTGGTGAAATCAAATTCCTTGTATGATGAAAATATAATGAAGGCTTTTCAATGCGACATAACCAAGAATGATATTTTCCAGTATTTGGAAAATAATTCTATAGACATAGTTACTGCAGTTTTTGTTTTATCAGCGATACACCCAGATAAGTTCAGCACAACACTGCAAAATATTTTTAATATATTGAAACCAGGAGGTGTATTGTTGTTTCGAGATTATGGATTGTATGATATGGCTCAATTGAGGTTCAAACCTGGAAATAAAATAGCTGATAACTTTTATGTACGGCAGGATGGTACTAGGTATGTAAAATTATCTTATCTTTATTATATTTTTTGATGGATGCAATGGATTAAATAACCCAAATGTACGTTTTCTTTAGTCTCATTACTAGAAAAAAAAAATACATTTCTTACCTTACATGATGATTTTGGCAGGCTCCCTCATCAGAGAGAACCCAAATATAAAAATATGTTGATGTTTCTGCCCACTGACCTTACTAAATCAATTTAGTTTGCTTTAGTATTTTATAATATTAAATATTATAATTATACTTTATTTCCAGGTCATTCTATTTTTCTACCGAGTACCTTGAAATCCTTTTGAGATCAGCAGGATTTAACATCATTTCGAACACATATATTCATAGACGTACTGTGAATATCAAAAGCAACATTGATGTTCCTAGAATATTTGTTCAGGGCAAATACATGAAGCCTTACAGTTGATACAGGTAATTTCTGCAATAAGCTTAATTCGTTATATGAAATTTACAAAATATAATTATATACATTTTTCGGCTGTATGTTTTTTAGTTACTTTGTTAGCTTGCTTAATAATTTACTCTTGCATTCTCATACTGTGATGATATTATAGTTCAATTGATCGCTGTGATATTTACTATTGCAATGTCTTTCGCTCCTATCTGATTAATCAAAAATCTGTTTATAAAAGTTTTAATAGAGAAATTTATGAATTGATTTTTTATCTTTCTCTTTCAGAATCTGAATGAGTCTTTGGAAATTAACCTGGCTGATATCAAAATTATTAATTTGAACAGGTAATTATTTATAAAATTCTTTTTAATGTTTCTTAATGATGATTTATGGCAGGCTCCCTCATCAGAGAGAACCCAAATATTAAAACGTGTTGATATATATCTGCCCACTGAAATAGTAGAAATGATTTTAAAAAATGTAATTGTATTTTTAGATTATATTAATCTGTTTTTCTTTCTTTTTTAGAATTTCTGAAAGAATGCTTCATAAACGGTTTTATCTTTTATGGGAATATTCGGCTTTATTATCAAATGTAAGTAACTTCTATTGTCTTATGAAGTATATAAGTTTAAAATATATTGTCTCCTTTCTTATTTTTTCTGTTAAAAGAATGATGAAATTATAAATTAGATTTTGCTGTGATATCTAACTAGCAATGTATGATAACCCATTCTCCTCTGAATTTTTTTTTGTATACCGTACATCTTTTTTTTTAACTTGACTTTTAAAATTTAATCATTACTTTTTTCTTTCCAGTATAATTAAAATTAGTCAGTAGCTGCAAAACTAAAAGAAATATTAGGATCATTTGATCTGATGAGAAAACCAGGCAGACTTTCTTGTCTCAACTAAGCAAGGTAATTACATAATAAACAAATTACTATATAATCCAGTCTTTTATGATGAAATTATAGTTCAATTGACTTTACTGTGATATCTAACTAGCAATTGTCTTTCGCTCCTATCTGAATATTTTTTTGTATATGCCAAATCTTTATGCATTTAAATTTGACTTTTAAAATTCATTACTTTTTTCTTTCAGTATGATTGAAATTACTCAGAGGCTACAAAACTAAGAATTATCATCATGATATTTCAATCCGATGTAAAAGCCATGCAGACTTTCATGTGCTGAAATAAGCAAGGTAATTACATAATGAGTAGATTACTACATAATCTAGTCTTTTATGATGAAATTATAGTTCAATTGACTTTACTGTGATATCTAACTAGCAATTGTCTTTCGCTCCTATCTGAATATTTTTTGTATACCTCAAAACTTTCTTCATTTAAAATTGACTTTTAAAATTAATTACTTTTTTCTTTTCAGTATGGCTGCAATTACTCAATGGCTAGAAAACTGAGAACTATCATGTTAATTGAATCCGATGTAAAAACACATGCAGACTTTCATGTGCTTTACTGAGCAAGGTAATTACAATAAACAAATTACAAAATAAAATCTTTTTTTATGATGAAATTATAGTTCAATTGACTTTACTGTGATATCTAACTTGCAATTGTCTTTCGCTCCTATCTGAATACTCTTTCATAATCATCTTTATTTTGAACTCACTTCAAAAGTCTAACTCTTTGGTTTTTTTTTTTTAGATTCATTGCATGAATCTGGTGATGCTGATGAAACGAAATTTTGAATAAGGTAAATTTCATGCATTATATTTTATAATAAATTTTTACTTATGATGATATTATAGTTCAATTGAAAGTTCTATGATATTTACTTAGCAATGTCTTTCGCTCCTATCTGATTTTTGTTATAAAGCACATTTTGTTATAAAGCTTTTAAAATATCCTAATATATTTTTTTTTAAATTCAGGTTTAGTGTATGGGAGATCATATCACTGAAGTAAAATGTATATTGTCTCAGTAATCAAGGTTAGTTTTAGTTATTTCATGTTACATTGTTTCATTCAATGATGAATTGAACTTGTAATGATTTTCTGTGAATTTTCATTATATTAGCTCTATCTGAATATTATTTCAATTCAAAATAATTACTGGATATAACTGAAATCATTAATAACAAAAACATTTTTGTTTCAGTTGGATCTCTTTAAGGCGCTGATGAAATTAATACTATATGTATGAGATAAAAATCACATTGTGTATTATAGTTATTCTTAATAAACTATGTACTCACATAACAGATTTATTTTAGTTTAAATAACATTTAGATTCAAAGTACAGATTCAATAGTTTCAGCATATGTTTCATTAAATAGCTTCGTAAGCATCAGCTTCTGGATTTTGATTTCCATGTCCATTCAAAAACAATTCCAGCTCATCTCGTTTCTTTTTATCTTTCTTATTACTCTTCTTTTTCTCTTTATCTTTGCTCTTTTTAGATTTTTTGTGCTTCTTTGTTTCCTGAAATAAAATTTTATTAAATTACCATAATTTCAAAAATCATAAATAAAAATTTAACACTGAAAATTACAAAAAATATTTCAACAAATAAAGACCATTACTTTATTACATTAATGATTACTATCTGTTGGACCAAAACAAATAAAATTTAAATATTTTGCTTTTAAATGAAACAAGACTGCAAAATTATTTGATAACAATGTTTAATTTTTACCTTCGTCTCCTCTATTAAACCTTGGTTAATACTACATGTACCAGTGGAATCCTCTCCACCTGCATAATTTTAATGATTAATTATTAATTCAAAAAATTTATCAAAGATTAACAATGTTGCCTATACCTTCTGGTGACCTTCTCACTTTTGAAGAACTTGGTATCCATTCATCAGAACCAAAGTTAACATCCAACTCATCACTTTTTAGACTATCAAAATCATTCTCTTCATTGGTGGGTTGATCATAATTAGAAAGTGGTTTAAAATCACCAATATCCAGTTTCGACATATTGATATTGAAATTATTTTTTGTAGAGTGAGAAAATGTTTTGCCATTTGAAACCATTTTATTAGAATTTTGTGTATTAAATTCTTCTGTAATCTCTTCTGCACCATCAATTTCCTCTTGGAATGTTGCAACTAAGGGGTTTCCAATTTCTGCATCACTAGAATAAAAGAATTGCTTTTAAATCAAATGTATGCTTATTATCATTATGTAAAATTAATAAATGGTACAAAATTGTACTAAGAAAGTTGTTAGTTAAATAATAGTATTGTGTATGTACCTATCACTGTCATGTTTATCATCAGCCACTGCAGAACCTCCAACATCATCTAAGAAGCTCCTGTCTAAAGCATCATCAGGACAAAAATCTTCCACGGTGTTCAATTGACTTTTGTACAAATGCTTACTGAAATTAATATAAAATTAATTAATTGAAATAATTATATTTTTTTTAAAAATAAAGTATAGTTTCTGTTACCTGTTACTATTTGTATGTTGTGCAGACTCAGTTTTTATAATTTTATTTTTAACATCCATATTTCTTTGTTCAGATGATGAACCTATTGCTTCACTACCTTGTTGACAGATTTGTGGTGATTTGAGATTGGCCGTCAAATTTGGAACTTGGCTATTTTGTAGGATCACTGTTTACTACAACTGGTTTACCTGCAACTATTATCGGATGACCTGCACCAATTGTAACTGTGCTATGGCTTTGTATCGGAATGTCTTTGCGTTCGTTTGTGCTATCTTGAGCATTATTAGATGTTGGTATAACATTTGTTGGAATTTTAGCATTGTGATCTGCAATTTGCCGTCTCTTTTTAACTAAGTTGTCTAGAAATTTGTTATAATTTGATTCATCAGATTGCTGTAAAGGATAAATTGAAAATCAAATTCATATTAGGCAATGGTATTACTAATTATCTTCCATATTTAAAAATATTCTACATTATTATTTATCAAATTTTGTTACAACTTTGGATGAAATTAGATGTTTGTTTATTTTTATTATATGATTATTAATTTATAAATATATTACACATTAAGCTAAAATTTAACTAATTTTTTTAATATGTTTCAAAGGCAAAAAATAGTCATATATTGCACAAAGTTGCAAAATTATAGATTTGTACATTTTGTACAAAATATTTTACCTGAAACAATAGAATCTCTTCTTTTGTAATATCTGTATCTCTCTTATTTCTCTCTAATAAAAGCTCAAGGCTTAACCTCTGCAGTCTCAGAAATGGAAGTCCTAGAAACCGATGAAGTAAATGTAGGCCAAATCCATTTCTCATGGAACTTTCTGCATACAAGGTTTCACCAGATCTCCTATAGTAAAATTATTTGTTTCACTTAAAAAATTATAAATAAATGTATTATTCATTTTAAACTAGCAACTTGCAAAAAATTAGAAAACTAATTACTTATATACTTAAAGTTGTAATAAGATAATTTTTTATTCTAGAAAAGTTACTTTATCAAGCCAAGTAATTGATTTTGTATATTAGCAGCAACTGATCATTTAATAAGTGTGGTCAAAAAAATGATATTCTAGCATATAAAATAATAAACAACTTACATAAAATTTTCAATAAATCCTGATACTTGTCCATTTGTCACTGCTTGATGATGACTCATATCACAATGATTGCCTAATATTAAAACTGGAATATCATCAGGAACTTTAGCCAGCTCCTTGCAGACATAGTCAAAGGTCCTATCAATATATAATAATTTATTTAGCATAAATTTAAATTATTATTTAATAAACAATATATATATATATATATATATATATGATATTTATTTTTTACCAAGATTTAGTAACATCCATCATCAGTATAACTCCATGAGTGCCTTTGTAAACATCTAAAAATTCTGCGTCCAGAGCAGGTGGGCATGCATCTATAGGACTTGTCGTCAGAGATAATTTCAAACCACTATTTTGGGGTCTGGATTTTCCTCTATCAACAACATCCCATACTTCTACCTGGAAGTAATATATAATAATAGGTTCAAAATAAATAGGGACTTTATGGACTTTAGAAGTATTGCCAAAATAACTGTAAATTAACATGTATAATTAAACTAATTGATTTTTTTTATTAATATTCCCTTTATCACGTCGTATATTATTAATTACTACACTTTTAAAGGCTTGTGTGCACTGCAATTATTGGAAGAATGAAAACAAGAATAGATATAAAAATAGAAATTTTTATTAAATGATTTATGTGACTAGTATTGTGACTAACTGAATACTGCATTATAAATTTTAAAATATAATACAACTAGCTGTAAGTGGAATTCTGTCTTGAGGCATTTATGGCATCGTGCCTTAAGGCAAATTGCTGGAACTTCCCGTACCGAAATGTTCGAGGAATACTGAATGTTTTCAAATAGATTATTATAAATATTGTAACATTGTCTAATATTTATGAGAATTATATAAACTGAATTGCAGAGTTGAAAATATTTGTAAAGTATATTAGAACTATAGCCAGAATTAAAAATAAAATCTGAAATATTTTTGATAAAACTAAAAAAAAAAAAAAAAAAAAAAAAAAAAAAATTGAACAAAATTTTTTTTCCAAAATCATTATTTTGTTAAGACAAGCAGAAAGTTCTTTGAATCATTTAAATCGGACGCTTAGTTCTCTCAAAAACTGCCATTTTTTACATATTTAGCTCCATATCTTCGAAATGGCTGGGCCTGCCTTTGCCAAAAACTAATAAGCACTTCTCCCAATCATTACTAATTGAATGCTTTTTAGATCATTCAAATCAGATACTCCGTTCTCTCAAAAATTCGATTTCTATTTTCTGCACTCTTTGCTCCGTATCTCCGAAACGGCTGGACCTGCCTTTGCCAAAAACTAATCAGCTCTTTTCCCTATCAATAGGAATCGAATGTTTTTTGAACCATTCAAATCGGTTGATCCGTGCGCCCTAAAACGTGACTGGAATTTGTATCCATACATACATACACACACACACACACACACACACACACACACACACACACACATCCATTTTTTCTGAGGTATGCCAAAACGTTCAAAAACCTTCAAAACGTCGAGAAATGTTAAAATTTTCAATTCCGATTTTCGGCCCATTACAATAACTTACCCTACGGGAGTTAAAAATTATTATTAGGTTGTCAAATATCTCCCTTCCGCTTTTTTGCTCTTGGTTTATAATACAAAAAGGCGGAAGGGAGATATTTGACAACCTTATATAACTGCCTGGAAGAGAGAGTTCACAAATATACACTGATACTACTATAGAATTTTGGGAATTATTATTTATGGGATTTTTCTATAATCCCACAATTTGATACAATAGAATATACATGGGTTTAAAAAAATACATTAATAACAAAAATATAAAAAGGGATGCGGGCGTATTTACTTAAGCTTTGGAAAATATATGGAAAAATTATAGGATTTGCATCTGCATCCTGTGCTCACTTAAACTAAACAATGATCATAATATATTTAATGAATTCACATTAGTAACAATTGCAATTAGTAGCAATTCAACGCAAATAGCAAATTAAAGTAATAAGTATTTAATGACATTCAATTAAAATCTAAAATAACTTTAGATTTGAAATAATTTTTCATGAATATATAGTTTTAATCAGTCTAATTACCTTTACAATATCATCTGTAGCTTTGAAGGCCCATTGAATAGAAGCAACTTGAATTTGTTCTGTAGGAACATATTCTTCTATAAAACCTCTGCCTTGCAAGCGTTCTAATAAACATGATTTACCAACATTGCGATCTCCCTTGATTATGATTTTCACTAAAACATAGGATAAAAAATTTAATATTTCAGTAAGATAAAATTAGTCAAAAAACAAATGGAGCCTGTTTTGCTCCTTTATATAAGAATATATGGAAATTTGAGCAAAAAATCATAGATAAGGATAAACTTGACACTGAATACTTAGATTCAATAATTCTTATAAACACTAAATATATATATAGGCAAGGTGGATATTATCTTTCTTTCATATATTATCAATCAAGATTAATATATTGTATATATAAAGTTCTGTACCTAATTTGCAAAACGATAGCTAACTTTTGTGTTTTAGAGCGATCGATTGTGGTATTTTAATATTACAAAGAAAAAGAACAATTCATCAAGAAGAACCATATGTATAAAAGACAACAGCATTTTTACCAATAATGATAGAATTTGTAAATCTCAAACTTGATTGAATCTCTAAATTAGGAATATAATAGAAAGTATCATATAATTTAAAATGGGTATATAAAGTTAGTATTGAATTATTTAAAACCTAGATTTTATGAGATGACCTAACCTTTAAAATATCTTCAGACTTTAAAGTAAAATCTTTCTCTAACATAGTATGTTATTTTAATATTCTATTTCTATTAATACTATATTATTCACATACTGTTATATTGAACTCCTTTCGAAAATTTCTTTTGCAGAGTACCAGGCATGGCCTGGTGACTGGGGGGCCATTCGAAGCATTTTCTGCTTTTCCAGCTAGTCTTTTGAAAGCTGAAAACATATCAACGCTGATATGTTAACTTCTCCATAAATACTTTAATTAAGCTGTCGAACACGTCTTACTTTTACGACCAACATATGCACTATAAATTTAAACCATTATAAATTAACTAGTTATAAAATATTCATTTAAGTAATTAAAAATAGAGGAGTGGTGAGTCAAAATAACATTGATGTTATATTAGTTTTATATGACATTTTCATCAACATTGCAAATTCCTCTGCCACTAGTTGCAAGCTGCAACAAGGCAATGTCAACTCAAGTCAACCCATATGTCACAAGACAAGGTTGGCTAAATAATTAATTTACATAAAATATATGGAAAAATGAGGAAAATTATTTTTAATATATTCGCATTGCATTGTTTAGGATTATTAAATTGAAAAAAATAATAGTATTTTATTTTATATTTCTAAATGAAATACTTTTACATCTCGAAACATTATCGAAAATTTATGACAGATGATACGAAAGTTAAAATATGTAGGAGGAAGTAATCCTTATTACTTCCTGTGGAAAAAATTTAAATTTTCAGAAGAAAATCCTAGTTAACTTCCCGTAGGGTAAGTTATTGTAATGGGCCGAAAATCGGAATTGAAAATTTTTACATTTCTCGACGTTTTGAAGGTTTCTGAACATTTTGGCATACCTCAGAAAAAATGGATGTGTGTGTGTGTGTATGTATGTATGGATACAAATTTCCAGTCACGTTTCCGGGCGAACGAAACAACCAATTTGAATGGTTCAAAAAGCATTCGATTCGTATCGATAGGGAAAAGAGCTGATTAGTTTTTGGCAAAGGCAGGTCCAGCCGTTTCGAGGATACGGAGCAAAGAGTGCAGAAAATAAAAATCGACTTTTTGAGAGAACGGAGTATCCGATTTGAATGATCTAAAAAACATTCAATTAGTAATGATTGGGAGAAGTGTTTATTAGTTTTTGGCAAAGGCAGGCCCAGCCATTTCGAAGATACGGAGCTAAATATGTAAAAAATGGCAGTTTTTGAGAGAACTAAGCGTCCGATTTGAATGATTCAAAAAACTTTCTGCTTGTTCTAACAAAATAATTGATTTTGGAAAAAAATTTTTGTTCCAATTTTTTTTTTTTAATTCAGATTTTATTTTTAATTCTGACTATAGTTCTAATATACTTTAAACAAATAATTTCAACTTTGCAATTTAGTTTATATAATTCTTATAAATATTAGACAATATGTTACAATATTAAGAATAATCTATTTGAAAACATTCAGTATTCCTCGAACATTTCGTTACGATACGGGAAGTTCCAGCAATTTGCCTAAGGCACGATGCCACCCACCCCACTAGTTTTTTTTTAATTTTATCCTTTCTCGATGTTTCAAGCAATTCGAATCGATTAAAATGAAATACAAAAGGGCTATGCTTTGTATGAGCCGAAATTTGACATTTCGTCGACGTTTTCTAAAAAAACGGCTGAACCTATTTCAAAAACTTTTAAAGCCATTTTATGTAACTCAATGAGGATTCGTATTGATTAGATTTGCGTATCGATCGGTCCAGCCCTTTCTTTATAAATAACGGAAAAATGCAAAAATTTTCGTCTACGTTTTAGCCAAAAATTCTGAACCGCTTTTAAAAATTCAAAACTGATTGATTTTTAGTCAATTTAGCCGGGCCATTTTTTCGCAATTAAAACTGCGTTTTTAGAAAATATGTTTATCAAGTATGTACAAAATTGAATAATCTGTATTTGTTTCTAACATTATAAGGCCCTTCAGAAACTCAGTATGTTTATATAAATTTATTTATAAACAACTCATGAATTATTATAGTTTGCCAAGAAGTTTATGTTACTTTATTAATTATTAATACGCAATTGCATATTAATATATAGAAATTTTATACATGATGCCTGAGATTATTAGAATACCAAATATGATCATTTAATATCATTATGTCGAAGGTCTTATTGAGAAATTCATATGGTGACAGAGAGCTGCCTCAACAGTCTCAACAATTACAACAAAAGATTCAATAAAAAATGAAACAAATTAAAATTATCAATATGTCAAAAGTCATGCATAAATACAAAATATTCACCACGCTGTGTCAGATAACATTCTTATTATATTAAAACAATTTACTGAGTTAAATGGTGTATTCGTTTATAAAAATACATAAAAGCTATAATAAAAATAATAATATACTTTCTGTCAAGAATATAATATTTTCCTGTTCAGAATGCAACCACAAAATTATTATTTATAATTGCATTCAAGATTCATATAAATATATGTACTAAATATTGAATAATAATATGAAGTTAATTTTGGTTAGAGTATAGTTATAAATCTGATGTTGCATCACACACAGCACTAATAATATTAAAAGATATATATATCATTTGCATAATTTAATCAAATAAATTAGCAGCAATGATACAAAATTTAAACCAAATTTTTACAATTTTTTCACAATTTACCAAATTTTATAAAACAACAAATTTTTATTAACTAAACAAATTTAATTATACTGTACTTGAACTTCTTCTACCAAAAGATGAGTAGGCAATCCCAGCTTCATTTTCATAGTTTATACAATTATGATTTAATTTTTCTAACCTTTATAGCATTTGCAACTATACCTTTTAACAAATGCAATTAATGAATTTATAAAATATAAAATTATACTATTTCCTTTACTTTTATATTTATAATATCAAATCCTTGCGATTCATTACTAATAACTTGTGGTCTATAACGACGATTTTCTTTAAAAAATGCTTACTTTCACCATTGTCATCTTATAGCTGCTTAATAGGACTCTCAAGACCTGCTGCAAGCAATTCTACAACTTCATGTTCCAACCAGAATATTCCAATATAGATCCTATTTTATGACATTGGTATCATATTTTGTCTTTTGATCCTCTAACAATTTTGCCAATGGCGAATGACCACTAAATAGTGAATATCCGCCACCATTACCCCACAGACTTGAAGTGCCATTCATACCAGATAAGAGAGATGTATAATTTAAACCGTTTTCCTCAAGAAAGCTAAAATTGCTATAAATTGATGTTGATTGATTTAAATCAATATCTTGCATACTTTTACTGTTTTCATCTATCCAATCTGTAGATAAAACCGTAGGTGATTCTATTGGAAGGCTATACAAAGACTTCATAGCCTTGTCTTCTCGTTCATTGTTTGAATCGTATTCTTCTTTCAAGTCTAAGTTATGTTTCATTTGAAGAATTGTTTGCAATGCAACATTAGTTCTAGCTCTTTTTGGTTTAGATTTAGCAGAGCCCGGTTGAATCATTCTCACTATAGCAGCCTTTTCATCATTATTTGTTGCATTTGAAGTATTTTCAAATACATCAGCACTGCAATAATAGTAATTAAATTAATTTATAAAATTTTATAAATAGTAATTTGATAGTAATAAAATGTTATTTTACCTTTTTGAAATTTTATCCAATATAAGCTTAGTCCATTTCAAGACTCTTTCACCGCAAACCTCATCTTGAGTAAAATCTGACAAAATTTCTTTATTTTGAGTCAAACCAAAGGGTATATAATTTGTCAATTCCAATTCTTCATCAAGTATACCATCACTATCATCTGCAATGCAATAATATTACTGAAACCACAATCGATTAAATATTATGCTTATTATAGCTTTAATTACCTATTCCAGAATCACTTTCAATTACATTGCTTGTTAATGATATAAAATGATTTTCCAACATTTTAAATGATTTTTAAAAATAGTTTCACCAATCAGATGCTCTTTCCTCATAATCCATGACAGAAACAAGTAAGCTGCAATGAGAATAATTTAGCATATTGAAGAAATTAATTATCATTATTATCGATAATTAATATATATTATTCTCAGTAAATAAGTATGATTAATGTACCTGTTTTATACGATTCATCAGTTTTTTCCAACAGATAAAATAAATGTATGTAGTGTGTTAGAATAATTTGTTTCAAAATTTCCTCATCTTTTGATAATTCTGATTCCTTGCATACTGCATCAATAATTTTTGAATAGGAATATGTAACAAGTATGAACGCCTTAAAGAAATAAATAATACTTACATAACTAATTAATGTTATTTTGAGCTTGCTTACAAATATCAATATTTTTTAATTTTTTTAAAATTATAGATATAAATTAGTTGAGTACAAATAACACATACCTCAATACACTTTTATTATTCAGTTGATTCGTTACAGGGCATTCAATTTTCATGTCATAAATTGAATTATTCAAAACATAATACATCTGTTTTAAAAAAGCGCTTATATAGTCTTCTAGAGTAGAAATTTTGCTGCATTCACTATAATAAAAAAGAACAAGAAGTCTTAGATAAAAAAACATTGCTACTAAATGAATTTCATGGAATAATATCTATAATAATATTATACTTGTAATTTATATGTATTGTATTTTATATACTAAATAGATGTAAATTGTTTACAAAATCAGTAATATAGTATGTTATTATTGAATAACTGAATTAATTAGATTTTTTTATTGTGAGTGTAATCACAAACACTACTAAACTATTATTCAATACTAAAACAAAATATGTGTAACTAATATAATAATAATACTGAATATAGTAACAACTTACAATGTTTTATGTTCTTCCAATAATCTCATCAAATTATTATGCGCCGGCATAAAAGATTGCACACATGAATTTGCTCGACAATACAAAGAGCAAATCTTAAGCGCATCCATTGAAGATGATTTGGGTTCCAAAAGAGCTAATTGGTTGTATGCATGACCAAAAGCTGGTGCTACTTTGATTGCTTGCCTTAAAAAAAAAAACAAATGTAAATCTTGATAAAGCAAATTTCAAACAGTGTTTTAATAAAGTTTTTCAATCAATACATACTCATAAAAATTTTGCGCCTGTTCTTTATGTCCTTGATATCTAGCCAGATCTCCAAGATGAACAAGGCAGTATTGTCCTACAAAGCTCAAATCCGTACTGGAATAAAAGCAATAATAACAATCCACACTATAATAACTTACTTTTATATATATTTAAAAAAAAATTATATATAATTCTTAACTAATACCTGATTTGCAACACATCTTTATGAGCACCCCAAGTAGAATTCAGTAAATTTATGTAAAATCCTGATGCACCAGATAAATACCACGATAATACAGCAGAAAACTCAGACTTTTGTGTGACATTGTACTTAAATTAAACCATAAATTTTCAAAAATATGACATTTTTTTGTTAAAACTATATAATTCATTAATCTATTATAGTGTATAATTCGAAATTATTTTAAACAAACCTCCTTATTTTTTATCAGATCTTGCAAAGATGAAATACAAA